TTACCCACAAAAGCTTATGCTCCCAATACTTCTGTTAGTCTCAAAGGTGCCACAGGACCCTCTGTTGCTTTTTACAGATTCAGACTAACACGGCTACCCCTCTGATACATGAATAAAAATGCTACTTACACTTTATAATGTTTAGTTCAAATGTCAATGGGACAACAGAATTGTAAAGTATTCGGATATCTCAGAAGGGATGGCAGCATTACAGCTATGCAAATCACCATGGAGGATTTCATATGGTCCAAGTTACAAAATGCCAAACCCATTGTATATTTTTACAAAACACTCAGCCAAAAATACCTGATTTTTCCTGCCTTGGCATATCTAGGAGGAGTATATAACCTTCTTTCCTGAAGTACCTTACTATGAGCCCAATCTTTCTGATTCACATAGACCGTACGTAAGTGAATAGCCCCACTGAAGTCAATGAGATACAACTTGTGTGTGTGAGGATTTGTAGGAACACATGAGCCCACCCCCAAATACAATTCTTAAGAGTATTACTCAGTTCAAGAGCTTAGAAAGCCCTAAAATCCTACAGCTCATCTGTATACACCCTTTCGATCTGATCCTTCCTCATCGTCACAAGCAAGCAAGCAAGCAAGCAAACAATGCCTTCTGTGTTCAAAAGTGATGCTGGTCTGAGGGTCCCAAAGGACTGACTAAGGCCTGGTCTACACTAGGAAATTAGATCACTATAACTATGCGGCCCAGAGTGTGTGTGAAAAATTCACATCCCTGAGCAACGCAGTTAAACCGATCTAACCCCCGTGTAGACAGCGCTATGTTGATGGGAGAATTCTCCTGTCAACCTAGCTACTGCCTCCCAGGGAGGTGAAGTAACTACGTGGACGGGAGAAGTCCTCCTGTGGGCATAGGAAGCATTGTCACTGAAGTGCTACAGCAGCGGAGCTGCCGCTGCTATGTTTTAAATGTAGATAAGCCCTAAGTGCTCATTTTATTGGAAGGGTTTCCCTGTAAGGCTTACAAGGCCCACGACCGTCACCAGGTTGTGTCTGTATGACTTGTAGATGATCTATTATTTAATCTTTTGTTCTCAACTTCATCACTGAAAACCACATTATGTTAAGGGCCCAATTCTGTTAGGTGCTGAGCCTCTAACTTCCTTCGTTTGGCCTGGCACCTTGTGGGTCAGGCCCATTGTGATTAGCAATTGCATTAAGGGCCAGATCCTCAGCTGGTATAAATCAGTGCAGCTCCCATAACAGAAGCGTATGCAGATACAAGCCAACGGGAGATCTGACTATTAGGAACCAAGGTCCATATCCCCAAAGGTATTTAGGGGCCTAACTCTCATTGATTTCAGTGTGTGAGAGAATCTAGGCCCAAACAACTAGATTCACCGTTCTGTCTTTATGCTGATCAGAGAAGAAAATTCACGTTCACCCTTTATTGCTCAAAAGAGATTTTAAAACAAAAACAATTTGTGGATTTCTGTTAGTAAATCCCCCTTACTCAGAGCTAAGATAATGAACCCAGATTCCAATGGTAAAATGTTTCACTGGATTAAGGAGAAGATGAACAGTGCTAATAATTAGATTTAATACCTGTAGAATTCTGCTGCTGGCTAGGGCCTCGTGTGACTGGTGAAGGCGAGGTGCTAGCATCTTCCTAAAAAAGAAAAATAAGATATTTCCTAAATTTTGACTCAACATTTTTCAAGTGAACAGTCACTGATTAATGTGATGGAGTGTGTTCTCTGTTCATCCACAGCACAGGCAGTGTCAGTGCAAGCTTCTTGCCCATGTGCCTCAACCTTGACATGATGGGACCACCTCGAAGGTGAGAAGGTAGGTCACTCCCAAGTCCATTTAAACTCTGGTCGCTCCACTAAAACCAGCAAGGAGGAACATTCGGATGGGTGGTGTTTTCTTTTTCTTTTTAATGGGAACACTTTTCTACTAGGAACTCAACTGAAGTCCACCAACTCAGGTCACTGAACAGAGGGCAAACGGTAACAATATCCCATCCCTACCGACCAACTAGGGCTGGACTCATGCTCGTGACTGAAAAGTGTTGGCTGCCGTTGCCCATTCTTTGAGCTAATCAATCCCCAAGTTCAGAAACTGTCTGTACTGCTGGAGAAATACAGGACCAGATTCTGGTCTGTTATCCCCATATAATTCCACTGATTTCAGCTGGATTGCACAGGAGTAAGTGACAACAGGATTTAGACCAATCTCTCCACTAATGATGGTAGTAGCAGTTTCAGTTTATTGAGCTATCCTAACTAGGACATTAAATATTTCTTCATAGAAATTGGGCTGACGTCACTGGGGTTTACATAAGGGTAACAAAGAGCAGAATCCAGACTAATGTATTTGACCTGTAAATATTATTTAAGAGTAGGGTGACCAGACATCCCGATATTATCAGGACAGTCCCGATTTTAGGGGACTTGTCCTGCGTCCCGACCCTACATTGGTTGGGACGACTGGTCACCCTATATGAGGGGGACGGCGGCAAGCCGGTGCCACTCACCTTCCCTCCCTGGGCCCTGGGGCAGCACGCAGTGAGCTCCTGGCGCGGCGGCACCAGCCCACGGGGCCCCCCGCCTGGCTGGCAGGAGCCTGCAGAGCACAGCTCTGCCCCTGCCCCAGCACACAGAGAGGCAGCGAGGAGGTCTGCGTGCTGCAGCGGGGCGTGGCCTGTAGACTCCGGCAGCGGTCGCCGGGCAATGAGCCCCCCCCGCCCCTCGCCCCCTCCCC